CACCGGCACCCGGCTTTGGATTCGGACTCGGCTCCGTCTCCGGCTGGAACTACTGCGACTTTATTGGGTACGGGACGGGATGGGACGGGATGAACGGGTTCCGGGGTACCGGATCGGAGGTACCAAGCGGCGAGGTGGCACCGTCTTAGGCCTGGGAATTGTGTAAAGTGGATATATACAGCGAGATATACCGAGAGAAGCACATAAAACACACAAACTGAAAACGAGAAAAATGAATGAGAAAAGCAAATTCAATGCAAGTATCGGACGGGTACATGCGAGTATCTCAGAAATACAATGCGCCGCCAGTGCCTAATAACTGAACACAAGTTGATTTTTGAGGCTCTATGGCTACAAATAAAAAATCAAAACAAATCGCAAAAAGCTCATAAATAATAGCCACAAAAAACGAACACAACGGCGATGGCCACAAAAGTTTTCGGTCGTTAGCGCAGTTCGCACTGTTCGCCATTTTGGCTTGGCTAAAATTAGCTAATAACGATATAAAAAAGAAAAATAGTAAACAAACCAACCAAAATAAACCGAAAAAGTTACGAATATATGAAAGGCAAAAGATAAAGAAAAACATGTCTGGGGGCTATAGATTTTAATGGACTTTGTTGTGGGCATAAAATTATGTTACAGGAGATATTACTACTTAATCTTAAATATTTTGAGAGTAAAAACTTATTTTAAATTAAGTATAACTACAGATTTGATAATACAAAATTTAAAGCTATTTAAAAAATAGTCAGAAAATGACTAAAACCATTTTGTAGGAATTTTGTCAACTAATAAAATTCTTATAAATTTTAAAGAAGTCATAAACTTAGTTCTCTTTTCTCAACATCAATTTTAATTCTCATCTAAGAATAGACCTGTTTAATTATCCATACATTGTTAAATACCCTATATTATTTGTTGCTTTTTTTCTATGAGGTTCCCCTACAAAATTATACACATTTTATATTCCACTTGATTTGTTTAAAACTTTTCCCCACTCAATTAGTGATTCCAACTTCCTAGACCCGCAGCGAGCGAGTAATATTTGTATCGCATTTGACGTGAGTCGGTCACGGGAGAGTGAACGAAGCAGTAATTACAATTGGATTTCAAATGCTTCAACGATTGTCAAGGGGATTTTATATATTTTTCCTACGTGTACTTCCATATAGACTATACCATATAGACGGCAGTGTATTCATCTCTGTGGAGAAACTGCGTTCTTAGAATCTCAAGCAAGCATCTTTCTGCGGGCAACGAAGCGAACGTGCGACCGGCTATTAACACCTCTGAGTCGGTCGGAGTTACCTGCCTTTCGGCACTGAGCATGTGATGAAAGCATGCCCGAATAAATTAAGCCAATTTGGACAGGAACAATAGGAGGTTTTTGTATGCCTAGCAGTCCGTAAATTGACAGAGATCTTCATTTAGGTTGTTCCGCTCTTTCCTCTTTTTTTTTGTTCCTGCTAAATCTGCCAATTAGCGACGCTTCTGTTTCGAGTAAACTAACCAACTCTGTGCAGTGATTTGTATATAGATAAATTAACACGCATATGAATGGATATTGCTGTGGATTCTAATACTCTTTAGGAAAGGTTCTCTTTATTTTTCTGATAATGTTTGTAAATAAATATAAATAAAGGCTAAAATTTTTTAGATTTTTATTTTGTTCTAAACTGCTACAAATTATTTCCATTTCGTTGTGGTTCGTATTTTTATTTTTTGAAAATATTTTACATTTTACCTTTTATTTTCAGACTGTGGTCATCTTTTAGAAGACAAGTACATCAAAGCTACAGATGCTTCAATGCACCAACTCCCTTCAGATATATGTATGTATAACCCCCCGAATCTTTTACAACTAATTTAACAATTTTTATAATATTTCTAAATATTTAAGGGTATATCCAGCCCCTTCTATCCATCTCTCCTTCATTTTACATTGTATTCCATTGCAATTATCACATTTTTCGAATGCGGATTTGTAAGTTTTCTAGTTCAGACAGCGATCGCAGCGAATGTCAATGACTCGTCATTGCCATAAGCTTTTTGGATTGGAACTGCCGGTGGCTGGAACATTTACCGCTCTCATTTGTCAAAGCCAACTTTACTTTGTATTTTGTATTTGCTTTTCGAGCAGTACCACGATGCCGCCCTCGATGCCCATGGAGCGTTGCGTTTTTTAACGCTTCTCTGTGGTATTAATTGCCCGGCCAGATCATGAAAATATATGTGTTTGTATACAATAATGTAGAAAAAAAATTAACTACATTTAACTACATTTGTAGCTGTGCATATTTGGCTTAATGTGGCATTTAAAAATGTTAATTGAAAAGACTTGCGGTAATGGAGGAAGCCAGTTGGTGGGTGTCAGTTACTGAGGAAAGTGATTTATGAAAGTTTAAAGAAGCAAGAACGCGCAGTACTTGCATGAGCGGTTTTAAGACCGACCTTTTAAGCTTCATTAGTGGGATGCTTTGAATAAAACTATTAAATTTCTAATGAAGTCAAGAGTGCTATTAATTATAAATATTTTTATTGCTGTCGAATGTCGTTAAATTGTAGTGTATTTCCTAGAAAATAATTAGTTAAGAATTATTATTAAATATTCTCTTGTTTATTATTTTAATTCCGAACATAATTTATATTTCTATTCAATATTTTTTGAATCTTTTGCAAAAAAATCTTTAAAATAAGTACACGCCGTGTAGTGAGCCCCCTAAAAGTAGGCTATGTTTTGTTTGTACAAACTAAAAGCTGGGTATTTAACAATAATAATTATTTTCTATTTAGTTTCTTTATAAAAAAAACTCAAAATTAACTTAAGCATTTCTTAAGAACCTAGTAATCACGATTCCAATTAATTAATTACTCCTGCTTCTTTTTTGGAGGGTTTTGTGACTGATTCATTGTGAGTCAAATATTTCCGCATCTTTCTTCAATATGTCTCACCTTTACCTTTATCTCACCTTTGGTTGTTTACTTCTGTTCTTCTCATCTTCAGGACAAAGAGCACCCAAAGTACTATACTGCCCAAGGCTTTCGCACCCAAGTGCCAGATTCGAGAAGTCTCGTGGTCACAGAAAGCCCCAAAGTCAAAGCCCTTGCTTGAAGATCCGCCAGAGAAGACACACACACATAATGAGATTTGTACCGGGGGACATCCAAGTTGATTTTTCGACATTCTCAAACAATGGTAGCAGCTTTTTTCGCCTGCACATCCACTTAGCAGTTGAAGATCTTCAAATTGAGATAACACGTTACATTCGGGGATGGGTTTTTTGGGCAAGCTTTGAGCCGACGACAAAGCTAAGAAAATGAAGGAAAAATGGCTTCAAATGCAGCAGATTACGACGCTCGTAATGATGGCGGGGCAGCCGGAGTGAGGAAGGTTATTGTGGGGCGCCACAAATTAATTTGCACCTTTCGCCTCTGCCAGAGCGCTGCAGCAGCGACTCCATCGTCGGCGTCGACAGCTGTCGTGGCAGCGCCAGGTGAAAGTTGCACATGCAAATCCACAAAAGAAAGAAAAACATTGAGTGCTGCCGGCATTCGGTGGCAGCTGAGGGGCACCTAGAGGAAAATTTAATAATTTAATAAGTCCAAGATATACCTGGTTTGCCAGTAAATTAGTTTTAAAGGTAACATAAGATTGAAATGTAATTTATATAGGGAATTACAGGACCTCTATTATAGTGATCATTGATGGTTTATTAATTTAATTTGCTGAATATCAAGGTAATCAAGGTAAATTTTGAGGTATTTATAATTATCGAGGGTATCCATAATTAAATATAAATCAAATTATAATATCAACAAATGTATATTCTAAAATTCTAGAAGAGGTACAACATTTTATTTGTAATTTTGCCCTCAAATAAACTGTAAAAAATAAAGTCAATTAAAATGATTAAAAGTTTCAGCAGTTCTCAAGTCAACTTCAAGAGAGACACTCGTAAATTAAAAGCAAAACAAACCTCTAAAATACATTGTATACATCCATCACATGAAACACGCCCTTTTACAATTTATAAACGCGTTGAAGGGTTTTTTGTCCCTTGACTTAGTAATAAAATTTAAAATCGTATGAGCAAAAAATCCCCTAAGTTGAATTATATTTATTAGACATAATACATTTACAAAAACTACTACTGATTTATAACTAGAAATTTGCTAAAGATCAAATGTTTTACTTAGGTCAATAGGGAATCCCTTGCTTATCATCAAAAATGTTAATTTTAGCATTTATTTCAAGACAATATTTGTGTGTTATTTATTGTATTAGTAGTATTATTTAGTATATTTATATAGTATTATTTAATTTTATCTCAGTGCAGATTAGTAAAATCATAAAGTGACATTTTGCATTTAGAGACAATCTCCAGGCAATCTTTTCCGTATTAGGGATGTCTCAGAAAAAGCTATTATTTGTTGTTCGCCGGAGGGCAATGTCATAATCTTTGCATCGCGGCGGTTATTCCCCCGTTTCGCTTCACTTAAATTCAAGCTTATTACACATTTTTCTGTGCATCTCTCCGTATTTGTGTTTAGCGGGCACAACCACCGCTATTGTAATTTGTCATTTATTTGCACTTCGCATTTGAGTGATTGCCGGTAGCCGGCAGGAGGAAGCGGAAATAAGTGCAGTGTGCAGCGGTAAAGTGCATTTGGGTGTTTGATTACATTTCGCACAGTTACTGGAACCCCTAGAGCATGTAAAAGTTTGTTGTTTAGTTCAATTTATTACAAAGTTGGTAGGGTGGCAACTATAACCGTAAATGTTACGTTATTACCTTTGTTTTCTAGAACGAAAACAGTTTTAGAAGCTTTTAAAATCAAATAATATCCTCCTGTTTCCGCACTATTTTAAACAGTAAATAATTAATATTTTATATACGTTTTTTATTTGATAGTTATGCGAGTTTCGGGATATTTCAAATACCTTTTGCCATTTCAGGGGTTTTAACTATGGTTTAAAAATGCAGGTTGTCAGACCAAAAAAAACGAACAGAGATTAATATCGAAATGATATCTTACGTCAATCATACAAATTATGATACAAGCGCTACTAATTTCACTCTTGTCCGAATTTTTCATTCAGTAAGTTGTCAAACGGCTTACGCTTCTACATTTCTAAAATCTTTTATTTTTTTTCCTTTGAGGATAACTGAATAACACAAACGAATTACGATGAGCGACAACAAGAAGCCGGCACTGCTGTACCTGACCCCGGGAGACGCTATTGTCTTCGAGGGTCCCTTCAACCGTGTGGTGAGGAAGACCGTTGTTATCGAGAATCCCAGGAAGATCCAGAGCGTGTCATTTAAGCTAAGAGCCACTACGCCTGAAATGTTCTTCTTGCATCCCAATACCGGGCTTCTAGCGCCCGGCGAGAAGGTCACCGTGGAAGTTTTTCTGAAGCCCATTGACGGGGATTTTGACCAGCAGAGCCTCATGTTAATTATCCAGGCGGCCGTGGTCTTTCGCGCAGATCACTATCTGCAAGGTTGCTGGAAGGTGCAGGAAGGGACACTATGGACGGCCAAGATCAAGTGTGAGTTGGAGAACCATTACGTCCTGGCCGGTGGTTTCTTTTCCGGCTTTGAGGCAAGAGAGGAAGAGCAGATCAGTATCTCAGATAACCGGGAGATTAAGATTTATGGTTATCAAAACTTCTTTAAGTTCTTTATGTTTATACCTATCATGGCCGCCGCTTTCCTAGCGGTTTTTTATGGAAACCAATAATTTGAAATGTATGGTGTATTCAATTGCTATTACTTCTGTTTTTTGGCTAAAAAATATATACACTAACTTATGTTTATACCAATAAAAGCGAAGTGCCATTGATATAGAAGATTACTTTTGCAATTTCATCCAATTTAAAAATATTATTCAGAAAGCGGTTCCCGGGATAATTTAATTTTTTTTTTTATGTAATTATAATGCAATATTGAAAATATCAGAAATGCAGAGTTTGTTTAGTTTCGAATTTCATAAAAATCGCGCATTTCCGTTGACAATTCTGAAATTTGGCCACACTTACGTAACTTATTTTGACGTTGCCAGACTGTGCGAGGAAAATATCGATTTATTTCCCCCACTATTTTCATCACTTGTCGAACTAAGAAATTATACTATAAATAATAATAAATTAAATAATATTTTATAGATAATAATATAATTATAATTAAAATTACTACCAATATCGATAGCATCGATAGTATCGCATATAAAGTTCAATTCCATTCGATACCCAGACAATCGATAGCTTTTCAACCATGATAGAATTATAAAAGTCTCGTCGGCAAAAAAAACAAAACAATGAGGGCAAGGGGAGCACGAAATGCACGTTACCTTGTATAATTTGTATCGTGCAACCGACGACGACGACCACCGCTCGCTCCTGACCATCGATCCGGCGACTGGGGGCGAGGAAAAGGCGTGGAAAACCAACGCGGCGCCGCCATTGAGAAAGAAAGCGTGTGCTCCCAAACAAAAAGGGGGAGAGGCGAAGAACAAGCGACACACACACACACATAGAGAGTGACAGAGAGAGAGGGAGAGGGAGAAAAACCGATTCGAGGTCGCCGGATGCAAAGATGTCGCACTCAGCCGTAGGAGGAGCAGCAGCGCCGGAGTCCGCCATTGGAGGAGGATCCTCTGATCTGGAAGTAGCCCCCTCATCGAAGCAGCCGCCACCCGAGGCTTTGCAGGACGGGGACACAAGCAACAGCCTGGAACCGGGAGAAGTGGTGACCCCGCCGCACCACCGCCTCTCGTCCAGTCCCGCCCTCAAGAAGCAGATGCTGCTGGGCAAGACGCTGCGCAAGACCCTAAACAGTCACAACCACATCAAGGACGCCGATGGAGCCCTTCATGACCTGGCCCGCAAAGAGAATGGTTCGCAGGAAACGCCCATGGACGAGGCCGATGACAGTGAGGGTCTCTACTCGGACACGGACTCTTCGGTGGAGGATCTGAAGAGCGTGGAGGATGTGCAGCAGGCGCGAAAGGAGAAGCAGGCGGAGGCGGCTGCTGCTGCGGCCTTACCCCAGGCGCCGCCCACTCCGTTTCTGGGCCTAAGTCCCCTGAGATTCCATATGAGAGCTCCGCCTTCCTGCTTTGATTTCCCCCGCATGGGCTTCATGCCCCGAATGGCCAGGGGCGGACCGCGGGGCATGCGACCGCCGTTCTTTGGTCGGCCCCCGACACCGATTCGCATGGGTGGGCAGCCCCCTGTGCTGCCACCGGGCACAGCTCAGCTTCCACCAGGAGGACCAGGACCAGGAAGTGTAGGCAACAATCTTAAACGCTGTAAGCGACCCCAATCGGAGCTAAGGTAAGAGTTTCATTGAGAAGATACATAAGAGATATGCAGAAATTATGTTTTTCCTTTCAGCTGGACCACGCTGCAGCCGGCTGTGTCCTTTACCTTCAATCTGATTCCCGAGTGCGCAAGTGCCAAGCATAAGGATTGCCAGCAAAAAGCGGAGAATACAACTGCAGTTAAGTCAAAGGATCCTGCCGCCAGCGATGAGAAGGAGAAGAATGCTTCAGAACCACCGGATCCATTGAGGGAAAGGTCCGGGGAAGAATCCCAATCCCAGCAGAATATAACAGCCAGTGGAAAGACAATGTACAAATCAAAGGAGAAGGAAAGAGCTCAAAGCCGAGGAAAGACCAGGGAGAGATCTCAGGCAAGAGATTCAACAAGAGAATCTTCTCTTGAAAGAGCTAGGGAGAAGTCTAAGGACAGGGATTTAACCCGTGGAAAGACAAGAGAGAGATCAAAGGAGAGGGAGTTCAAGAGAGAAAAGTCCAGGAAAGCATCTCCACAAAGGAAATCCAGAGGAAAATCAGGTGAAAGAGATCCCAGCAAAGACAAAACGAGAGAACGATCTCGGGGAAGAGATCAAGCGCGAGGGAAAACGAGGGAGAAAAGCAGGGAAAGGGATCAAAAGAGGGAAAAAAGCAGGGAGAGGGATCAAAAGAGGGAGAAAAACAGGGAGGGGAATTCAACAATAGGGAAATCTGTCTCTGAGAAGGACCAACCTCGAGGAAAAGACAGGAAAATGTCCCAGGAGAAAGATCAAAAGAGGGGCAAGACTCGAGAACGTTCAAGGGATAGAGATCACAGAAGAGCAAGGACTAAGGACAGGTCTAGATCCAAAGAAAAGCTGCTGGAAAAGTTCCAGGATCGTAAGGAGAAGCACACAAGAGGTAGATCTAAAGAAACAGAAAATGAGCCTCAGTATAAGTCAAAAGAAATCCCAGACAAGTCTGATAAATTCATGGATAAATCAAAGATTAGGCAGCGCGAAAGATCTAGGGAAAATCACAGGGAAAAATCTAAAGAAAATACCCGCAACCGAAGAAGTAGCAAAGAAAGAATCCACGAAAAATCCGCAGAAAGAAGTCAGAAAGAATTGAGGGATAAAAAAGAAAACATCACAGAAACCCCAAAGGACAGGCTACCCGAACGAAGACGACAACGTTCCCGGGACAAGCAGAGAGAGCGATCCCGGGAAAGATACTCCCAAGAAAGGTCAAGAGAGAAGGGTAGACATAGCAAGCATGAAAAGTCCAGGGATCACTTGGGGGAGAAGCCGTTGGACACCCACAAGGAAAGCCGGTCCAGAAGAGCGGCCACTCCTCTCGATTCCTTCGGGAATGCGAGTCAAACTCACATCAAGAGCGAGTCTACTCCCGCTGGGACACGCCAGGAGGGCACACCTCCAATGACGCCACCCCAGCAGCGTGGGCAGACTCCTCCAGCCAGCGACACCCCCAAGACCCCCAAGGTCTTTGATATTTTCGCTGACTCACCGCCAAGATCGAACACTGCCACTGTAGCTGTCTCAGCTCCAGCTGTGATCATCGAAAGAAGCACCACGCCGCCATTGAAGGCGACACCAGTTACTACACCCATTGCTCCACCCACCAAGCTGACGCCCCTGCTCAAGGCCAGCGAGATTCACAGCAGAATTGGCGCTCTGCTCGAGGACGATGATAATGATTTGCACTTGGAGGCTTTGCTGGCCACCAAGGAGAAGCTTATTCGGCGCACCAACGAGTACAAGGAGCGGAAGGAAGCACCCAAGGAGATCAAGGTGGAAAAAGAGACACAGCAGCGGCGCTACGTAAACCCCTTTAACCGCGAATCAGTATTAAGCAAGGAGAGAAATTCCTATTCGTTCCATAGAAACGGCGGCAGTCGTTGCGCCAGCGAAAGCGAAGAAGACTGGGATAAAGATCTGGAACGCGAGAGTGAATCGCTGGCGAGCAGGACAGGCCAGGAGTTCAGGGATATCAGCATAAAGATTGAGAAGGATCTAACACCGCCACCGCCGCCTCAGAAAACGTTTACAGTGACCCGCATCAAAGTGGAACGCAATGCAACTCCGCCAAGGGAGGACCGGGATGGAAATGAGGAGGTGCTGGTGAGGAATGGAGCAGTGGCAGCGAATGCCCCGCCGCCTTTGGCCAAGGAGCAGGAAAGCCCAGACACGGACGACTATATAGACAACTGGGAGAATGATGATTCCATATCCAGCATGCCAAAGAACGCTGCTCCGGTCACCCCAACTCCTGCTCCTGCTGCTGCTCCTGCTTCTGCTCCCAATACTAATCCCCCTGCAAACATCACGCCTCTACCGCCGCCCCCTGCCCAATTCAATGATGACTACGACGAGGATGAAGACGACTCAAATGCCCTGTGGAATGCCAACAGCACGCCACCTCCCCGCTCCAAAGCGGCCAAGGCCAACCTGCCCATGAGCAATATCCATGAGTTGTACGACAAATTCATGAACAGCATAGAGATGGGCAGCGCAGAAATGCAGGAAGAAGCCTCCAAAAACAGTTCCTTGAGCAATTCCACAAACGAAGAGAGTTCCTCCGGCTCCGACAGTTCATCCTCCAGCAGCAGTAGCAGCGACTCTGATGACGACGACTCCTCCAGTTCGGACGAGGAGGAGGAGGCGGATCCCAATGAAAACACTTCGGGTGATGAGTCTCCCACAGCAACAGAAGCCTCCAAGTCCCAGCCAGACGATCAGTCTGGCAAGGAGCAGCAGCAAAAGAAGAACAATGTAAGCAAGGACCTGCGAAAACTCAAGAGTCTGGAGGATAATCTGGCCAGGATTCAAATGATGCGCGAGAACTACGATGCGGGCGATGAGATCTCCGAGGAACTGCTCAAAATGGAGTCTCTGTTTCTCATGCAACGCAATGCCATCATGGACAAGTACAGGAAGCAGGAGCTCAAGAGCAGCTCCAGTGAAGATCACCAGCAGCAGCAGCAGCAAATGGAAGCTCCGCAAGTAGAACCCCCCGCTCCTGTCAATAGCATCTTTGATGCCAATCGGGGGGCCATCAAGATGACCATTTCGCGACTGAAATTGACAAGTAAATCTGCCATTTTCGACAAGGATGAAACGGAACAGCAGCCGAAGCCAACGGTTTCCCTGCCGTTGCCAAGCCAAAAGCCGCCCAAGGAGATAGCTATAGTGAAGCCCACAATTGTAGAAACCCGCTCAAAGCCCAGGGTTCTAAGGAGCCCACCACCACCATCGGCTAATCGTCGCAGATCTCGTTCGCGTTCCAGCTCCCGAAATATATCGAAGCGTCGCAGTCTGAGGCCAAAGTCCCGTTCCCCGAGTCCCAAGCGATGGCGTCCTCCGTCGCCCAGAAGAGGTTCGCGTTTCGCTAAGAGGAACAGCGGTGGATCAGGTGCGGCACCAGCAACCAAAATGGGAAGGAGCCACAGTCGCAGCCTGACTAGGAGTCGAACCCGCAGCAGAAGTCCTAATCGCCGAAGACGTCCACCTTTGACTGTGGGTAACCGCAGACGGGGATCTCTTTCTCCTGGCCCCCATAAAATTGCTGGACCCCGATCACCACCTCACCCGCGTCTACGACGTTCCTTGACAAGAGAAAGGGAGCGGGAACGGGATCGGGACAGGGATCGCCGCTCGCCACTGCCATTTAAGCCACCCTCTCCGCCCATGCGACGCAGTTGGTCGCATTCCCGCTCACCCACCCGCAGGAGAAGCCGCTCCCGCTCCAGATCCCCGCGATTCCGTTCGCCCAGGGATGGAGGCCAAAGCTTTGCTGACTATTTCGGCGAGAATCAGGGCATGGAGGCGGCCGCCTACTACTACAACATGTCGCTGATGCAGCAGGAGTATCAGGATCCCACGGGCGCCGGCTATGATACATACGCCGCCTACATGGATTCCGCCTACAACATGGAGCAGGCCTATGCCCAGTTCACGGAGGGTTATGCCCACATTTATGGTGATTATCCGGGTGAGATGGGTTCACCTCAGCTGCTGGGATCCTCGTCGGTGCTCAGGGAACTGCCCATGGCTCCTGTAGGGCCAGTGGCCGTTCAAAAGGGCAATGTCTTGGAGATTGTGCCCACGGGTGAGGCCTTGGCAGTGAAGGAGGCAAGCCTCATGCCAGTGGCAGCAGAGGAACCTTTGGAGGATGAAAGGTAAGTTTAAGATTGAGAGAACTTTTTTTTAGAGATTTTTATTTACATTTTTCTCCTTTTCTCAACAGCAAACCCAAGCGAAAGCGTGTGAACTTCGTGGACAATGTGCTGCCCAACTACGAGAGCGAGAGCGAGGACCGAGCCATTGTATCGCTAGCGGTGGATCGTGCTTTATGTCAATATCAAGAGCGTCGCTCTCGTGCCGCCGCCAGACTGCAGCAGATTCGGGACGAGCTGCTTGCCCTGCCCCCACCACCGCCGCCGCTCACACCGAGGCCCACCAACCAGGAGAAGCCCGTGCTGGTGCAGAAGAAGCCCAAGTTCCGTTACTTCCACTACGATCCCCTCAAGGGAGCCATTGTGAAGACTCACTCACGGGTCCTGCGACCCAACCTCCGCCCTCCGTTCGACCCCAAGCACTTTGCCATGCTGATCAAGACGGGTCGTTTGCCTCCGTTTCCTCCGGGCTTTATGCGCCATCGCCCGCCAAATATTCCTGCCCATGTAGATCCGGCCACCAAGGCGGCCATGCTTAAGGAGTTCTTCAGCAAACATCCACCGCCACCGCTGCCCATGCCCATGGCCATGCCCGATGGGATGCCCTATTACCTGAGTGGACCACCTCCGATGGCTGGTGGAGCTGCGCTGTCCCCAGTGGCGCATGCTATCCCAGTGCTAGGCAATCATGGCTATCAGGGTTATGTCCAGCCCTCGCCTGTTCCGGTACCTGTTCCTGTGCCTCCTGTGGCAGTGCCTGCACCAGCTGCCTCCACGCCACCGCCGGCCATGATAGCTCCCTTCTTCACGCCGCCACCATTACCTGAGCTACTGCCCATACTACCCGACCTGCCCACTCAGTTTACGGTGAAATCTGTGCCCACCATCACCGAGATAATGCCGGTGGATATACTGCAGCAATTGGGACCGCTGCCCAAGACTCTGGATGTGGACGATGGTAGTGGGATGGCGAGTCCAGAGCAGGGTGGCAATGATCTCAAAGAGACTGAGGGTGAGGCTAAGCTTGAGGCCAAAGCAGAGGCAGTGGAACAACAGGGGGTCGAGGTGGAGGTGCAGTAGAAGTCCCATTTTTTAGCCAATAAATTTGTTTAATAGATAATTTTAATTTTAACACTCCAATTGATCCTTTGAATTATTTCCAAGTTAAATTAGTTTCCATTTTCTGACAATTTTGTGAACAAATCGCATTTACAGATAGAAATCGTTTTAGGTTTTATACGCTCTATATATTTTTAAACATAATTATGGTTCGACTTTGATTTCTGCAAGAAAATAAAAATGTAAATAGTTCGCTTAAGAATTATACACGAATTAACATACGGTGTAAACATTACAATTATACGTATATCTGAGTCATTGCTTAGTCTAATGAAATTATATTCGAATTAAATCTAATCTTACAAACAAATGTATGTATGTGAGGTGTGTGCGTGTGTTAGTGTTTACAAATACAAATGTCTTTGCCTTGAGTTAATGAAAAGTAAATTTCAGTTTTATTCCCATTCAAATAGTTCAACTATTTCGTTATAATTTCTCGCTGAACCTTGTACAAATCAATATCAATTTGATATATATCTATATATATTTTTTTTTGTTTATTAAGTAACTTCCTATTAGAAGAGGTGGAAGAGACTTAATTCTAATTAAAAGCAAATGAAAGGGCTAATTGTTTCTCCTCAGGATTATCAAAGAATTTATATGATTTCATTTCGAATCCATCTTTTCCCTGGGCCTTAGAACCAAAGGAAAGCACTTGGCTGGCAGGGCCAAGCTCTCGGGACTTATCTGAATCGTAGATGAATCGTGGCTGCTCACATCATATCTCTGCAGGATGTTGGCCAGTATAAGGAAACCAAATCCTCTTACCAGATTCTGGCCAATGCAGGTCCTCTTGCCAATGCTAAAAGGCAGAAAGTGTGGAATGTTTTTCCTTAACTGAAGCTTCTCCGTGTCGCTTTCAAAGCCCGAATCCGATCCCGAACCCTTATGAGAGTTTCTCCTGTGCGATTTCTCCAAAAATCTTTGAGGATTAAACTCTTGGGGATTAACCCAGTTCTTCTCGCTAGTATTGAGCACATAATTGTTGATAAAGACAAGGGTGCCCTTGGTTACCCCATAGCCAGAGATCACTGCATCCTCGGTGGTGACATGAGGAACAATTGGGGAAGAAGAGTACCTCAGCACCTCGAATATAGTGGCCATTGTATATGGCATTTCGTTCATATCCATCAAGCTGATTTGTGGCTTCTCCGGTGATGTCAAGCCATCAATTTCCTCCTGGATTCTCTTGCCTATATCCTGATCCCTGGCTATATAGGCCAGCACTAGCATCACCAGATTACCCACTGCCGAATGGCCACCAACAAAGTCCTCCAGCATGAAGATTATGGTATTCCGGGAGACCTCCTTGTCCTCAACGATGCTCTTGAGCAGAGCATCTGTGAAATCCCTATCCGGCTCATCCACATCCACGTTCAGCTCCCTGTGGCTGATAATCCTATCCAAGATGAACTTTCGGATGGTCGTCGACCAGTTGGTTATCTTGTTGAGGTGCCGCTGATAGAAGGGAGACAACCAGGGCAGAAAATCCAGCGGGTGTCCCTGGTTGATCTCCCAGAAGATCTCGTCAAAGTACTGAACAATCTGCTCAAACTCCTTGTCCTGGTAATCGAACCTCAGGGAGCACATATACTGGCTGAACATATTGGCGCATGCCTTGAGGATCAGTGACTTTATTTCCATGGGTTCTCCGGCCACTAGCTGTTCCCTGAGCTCTCGGTTCCAGTGCTCCATCTCGGCACAACCGATCTCGGACATTTTCACATAGAAGGACGAGGACTCCCTTGGAGAACAGTGGCGTCGCGCGAGGTTCCTTCGCTTCTGCTGGAGCTGCGACCAATCGCAGAGGGCCAGAGAGTTGCTACGCTCTCCCCCAAACAGTTTGTGATAACGCAGAAAGTCCGGTCGTCCACTCATCACCTTGCCGTTCTGGTTCAAGACCTCGCGGATCAGCTCCAGATTGTTTACCACCAGGCAGCGGGTATGGCCAAAGGTCAGCGAGTAAATGTCGCCGAACTGCTTGGCCAGCTCCGTGAAGCCCGCAAAGGGAGTGTCCCTGTAGCGATCCAGCAGGTGAAGGTTGCCAATGATGGGCCAAGGACGTGGTCCAGGCGCTTGACTATATTTCTTCATCTTCTGATTCTGTCCCGTGGAAAGGGCATTCTTAAGGGGCTGATTAACCCGCCGCTGGGCCCCGTAAAAAATGCGCACGTAAGACGTAATGACCACACTTATTAAAATGCCTAAAACGGTATAAGCCACAGTTACAGTCGCGAACATTTTCGCTTAGTTGTTGAAAGTAGAGAATGCAAAACGCAACTGACGACGGTCAGCAAAATCGATCAGCAGGTAACCTCAGGCTTCGGGAAATCACTTTCCCATTTTGTGGGGTGAGGACTTACTTACCACTGTCTTACCTGCCTGCTGGAGTGGGCCGTTACTCGCTACCTGATTTGTTTTGGTTGTTAAGAAGGTCTTTATGTGTGTCTCCCTTCCCTTCCCATCCCATTCCGCTTAGAGGTCAGCACGAATATTCAAGTTCGACCAGGGAACATGGAAATACCATCTGCAATATTGCATTTTAATTTTGTATTAATTCTTTCGAGAACCAATTTTCATTTTATGATCCCAGAGTGACCCATTTTGAAATTAGCTGAACAAGCGGTATTTATTTTTAAGATGGTTGAACTGTAGTTTGGTTAATTTTAATATTTATATTAGTATTTGCTTTTAAAGAATTTACAATTCGTTAGATGTTCTTCTATTATAAGAATAGGTTTATTTTATTTTCTCACAGCTCCAGCATTTACCATAATATTAGCGTTTTATCTTTCCCCAATTTAAGTAATTTTTATGGAAACTTTCAATTTATTTCTCATAATTTTCCCTTAATAATTTAAGTACATATATACACTCCCTTAAGGGACAATCTTAAGCTAATCTCTCTGTATTTATTGAGTATTCCTTATGAGTATACTAGACTTTACTCCTCCAGCTTATCTTTGGCAAAAGGCCCCATGTTGGCCGCATATGCCATCATGGCCGGAATAGAGCTCTGCTCGTAATTTCCTGTAAATAGGTGTTCAAAAGGACCGGAGGCAAAGACGCCCACATCTTCGGCGCCATGGGTCTCGCTACTCAAAGGAACCGTGGCCTGGAATTCAAAGTCCTCCTTGGTTGTGTCCACACGAGAGAGATCGATGCGGCCGGAATCTGAGTTGTAGGTATCTGTAAAGCCAGGGCCATTGGCATAGGACAGAATTGTAAAGGGCAACTCGTCGTCTGCCAGGTTGGGAGCCAGCGACAGGATATTCTGGCGGCGGTACTGGAAATATCAATTTAAGAGAAATTATTAGAAATTTTTACATATATATTACAATTTATAAATAGCTGGCAAAAAGCTTAATTTACTCACCGGATAGCCATTGATGGACATGGTGTGCGAGTGATCCGAGGTCACCACAATCAAAGTGTCCTCCTCGCTGGTCATTTCCCTGGCCATTTCCACGGCAGCCGCAAACTCCTGGGTATCTTCCAGCGCCTTCCTGGCCTTCGTCTCATGGTGGGCCATGTCAATCCGGCCGCTTTCCACAAACAAAAAGTAGCCCTTCTCGTTCTGGCTCAACATCTTGATGGCCGCCTCAGTCATGTCGGAGAGCGAGGGCTCAGCCTCTTCGTAGTGGGTTCGCTGGCGATCGCCGTGAAAAGGCAAGTGCGAGGTTTCGAAGAGTCCAAGGAGGTAGTCCGTCTTGCTGAGATCCGTATCTCGGAGACCCTTGAATGACCAAACGTACTTGCCCTCGGATCCCTGCTGCTTCTTGATCTCCTGCCAGTCCTTAATCAGATCCCGACCATCGGTGCGGAGTCCCGAAACTCCTACCTCGTCGCGCATCGACTTATCGCGGAAGTAGGACCGGCCGCCGCCCATGATCACCCGGAGTTCCTGGCCCACGGGCCACTCCACCAGCTGCCGGGCAATGTCCGTGTTGAGTTCGGGACTGCAGTTGGACTTGGTGATATCCCCATCGGTCTCCCAGTTCCTGTCGGCGACATGGGCATAGGTACCGGCTGGTGAGGCATGCGTTACCCTGGCGGTGGTCACAATACCCGCCCACTTGCCCGCCTCCTGGGCCCACTGGGCAATGCTCTGGGTGTGTGTACTAGTATCGTTGGCGGACTCACAGTCGCCACGCTGCACCTGGGCATTGACGCCAATGGTGCCGTAGTTGGCCTTTACGCCGGTAAGGTAAGCCGTGGCTGTGTTGGCCGAATCCGGAGTCCTCTCATTCACTGCGTACGTCTTGGACAGGCCCAAGTAGGGGAACTTCTCGAAGAAGACCTGCTCGTTGCTGTCGCCCATGAAGTCACGGGTGGCGGCAATCGTGTGGATGGACATGCCGTCGCCAAGGAACAAGATCACGTTCTTGGCGCGGTTTTCGTTCAGCTTCTGGTGGCCGGCCAACTTATCGGCCAGAATCGATTGGGCCTTTTCATGCCAGAAACGTGTCTCCAGCTCCTCGTCGAGGGCCACAAAGTCGCGTGAGGCCGGCAGGCGTGGATGGTGCTCTGTGAATTCCGGACTTTGGGTTAGCAACTAATCGGCAATCGGCGGGGAAATTTTGGACTAATAAAACTACCAACTCTGGCGGTAAACATGTTTTCAGGCGGTAGTTCCTTTGATAAAATCTATAAATCAGTTTTAATTATAGCCATTTATTGGGGTCGCGTTTAACATCTAATCGTTGAAGAAATCGCACCTGATTAAATAATAATAAAACGTGTTGAAAACGTTTTTTGCAGTGGCGATTAAGTAATGATTTCATCAGCCAGAAAGGTAAGTAATTACGTTGGCAATAATCGGGTTTTAAATTAAGTTAAAGTCTTTTTTCTTTGCTTATTAATTTTTGTAAAAATAAATAACATTAATATTGAATATTATTACCCAAAAAAATTTTGTTAAATAATTTCGACAACCCTTTCTAACCCTCTCCCCTCTTAGCTGATAATTCCTGTTCACGTGAACACTCAAATCATAAATTATATTGTACCCTCCGCCCATGACTAAACCTTTTCAAAAATAGATCTAGATTAGGCCGCAAGCTTAATGAGTTAACAAGATTTGCGATAAGCCCAGAGGCTCCAGCTCTTGCTATTGGCCATAGATAAGCCAGGGAGCTCCAAGACGATTCCCATTCGTTGGAGCTCTCTCTGCGGAATCGGGTTTCGAATTCGTAATAGCCACTCACCTTTTTCCTGTTGGTCGGCCAAGTCACCCCGAACCCGGAGGAACAGGAGAGCCAAGAAAGAGCACAAGATTAGGGCACTACTACTGGTTCTCATCTTGGAACTTTAAAATGAGAATTACTTCGGTCGAAAGCTACCGCGAGACTGGCCAACTTAGACGGATCGGCCGGGTTATATAGCCTCCTCCTCGGTTTTCCTGTAATATACATACGCATTTGGTATATGGGACTGTTATTGTGATTTGATGGGCAATCTCGAGTGGCGATCGATCCAATTATCTCGAGTGCCAAATGCCGGGAAACGTGACTATCACGGTCTGGCCAAAGGAGAGGCCATAAATTACCCGACGCGACTCCGTGCCCTATCGACTCCTCGGCCGAGCTGCACCTGATCCGATCGCTGGGTATATTAATGCCCCGCATGTGACTACGGAGTACAGTATCCAGCTAGCTGGCGGAGTGAAAGCATTGCGAGAATGTCTACTCTCAAGTTCTGGATTGGCCTGAGCCTCGTCGCCCTGGCATGGAGTGCCGCTGTTCCGGGCAAGGCGCCCGTTGACGAGGAACGGATGCATCCCCATCTTCCAAGCAGTCCGCGTCTGCGCATGATTTCTGGAGAGGAAACCTCGGAGTACTGGCTTTCGGCCAGCAAGAAGCTGATCCGTGAGAAGTTGAACTTTGTGAGGAACACGAACAAAGCCAAGAACATCATTCTCTTCCTTGGCGACGGCATGGGATTGGCCACTCTGGCAGCGGCCAGAAGCTACATCGGCGGCGAGGAGCTGAAGCTGTCCTTCGAGGAGTTCCCCTTCACGGGTTTGTCCAAGACCTATTCGGTGGACAAAATAGTCCCGGACAGTGCCTGCACCTCCACCTCGTACCTGTGCGGAGTCAAGGCCAACTACGGAACCATTGGCGTTAACGCGCATGTGAAGAGAGGCGACTGCCTGGCCATGGCCAATGAAACGAACCATGTCTTCTCCCTGGGCAAGTGGGCCATGGATGCGGGCAAAGCTGCTGGTTTGGTGACCACCACCCGAGTTACCCACGCCTCTCCCTCGGGTGTCTACGCCCATGTCGCGGATCGGGAGTGGGAGAACAATGCCGTCTTGGAGGAAGCCTGCGGGGAGCAAGCTGAGGGGCTGCAGGATATCGCCGTCCAGCTCATCCACGGCGAAGTGGGCAGCAAGCTGAAGGTAATGCTGGGCGGTGGCAAGCGGAGCTTCTACAGCCCGGAGCACTACGACAAGGGCCGCCGCACAGATGGCCGCAATCTCGTCGAGGAATTTGAGGCTCTGGCCGAAGGCAACACTTTCGTAAAGACCCAGAAGAAGCTGCTAAGTGTCAATGCCACCGAGACGGGTCGACTGCTGGGTCTGTTCAGCAAGAGTCACATGCATTACCACCTGGAACAGCTGGATGATCCGGACAACAATGAGCCTACTCTAGAGGAGATGACAGAAAAGGCCATCGAGGTTTTGCAGACCGAGGAGCAGGGCTACTTCCTGTTCGTCGAAGGCGGCAAGATCGATATTAGCCACCACGATACGATGGCTCGCATTGCTCTGGACGAAACGGCTGAGCTGTCCAAGGCGGTGAGAAAGGCCAGGGAGATGACCAATCCGGAGGACACCCTTATCGTGGTCACCTCAGATCACTCGCACACGTTCAGTGTGGCGGGCTATCAGCCGCGCGGCAGTGACATCTTCGGACCCTCCAAGAAAATGGGCAAGGATGGAAGGCCATACTTGACATTGAGCTACGCCAACGGCAAGAGTTTCGAGGACTTTTACGACACGGAGACGCACGAGCGAAAGGATCCCACCACTCTGTCCACGATCGGGAACTTTGATCAGCTCTTCCCGGCAATGGTGCCCCTGGAATCGGAGACGCATGGCGGCGAGGATGTTGGTGTGTTCGCCTCTGGCCCCTGGGCTCATCTCTTCACCGGAGTCTACGAGCAGAACACCATACCCCACATCATGGCCTTTGCTGCCTGTGTGGGCGATGGTTTAACCGCCTGCGATCAATAGGATTAAACCGATATGATTGACAGACCAAAGGACTCTTAATTAGCTGAATCCTACCAGGCGATTCTCACGTACGCGCTATCGTGTTAAATGAATACTCAAAATGTGACAGGTGCTCCTTGTGTGCACACACATGGCACTCGAGCCGGGGAAATCAGATCGGGGATTACTTGCTTCCCTATCAATTTGAAAAACCAAATATATATATGTACTTATACTACGCTTATTGTCTGATTATAGCCAGACATCCAACAATTCCGATTGAATCCGATTAAATTTATTAGATTTTATTCAATTCTCGACTTTGATTCTTTTTGGGGGTGTGTGGTGTGATCGGAGGAAGTCTCTATCAACTTAGCATAGTAAATCTAGAGTGTTGAGACTCGTGGAGCCGAAAATATAGTTTGTTCTTAAGGCAAGTGGATTCCTGTCAATAAATACCAATCAACTTGATATATATTATTTAATCTGATTAAAAACTGAAGACTTGCAAATCTTATAATGAAGCGAAAGACGTAGAAAGTTGACATTGGGGAAATGGCCAATGACAAGGGCTTATTTCAATTTACTTACTAAAACCGTTTTATGATTCCTTAAGTAATAAATATTTGAGATACTTTTTTTTTTGCGAATTCTGAAGGGGTTTCATAAGTTTAGAACGCCATTTTGGCATGTCTTTTATAGTATAAATTTGAATAATTGGATTGAATCGGCTAAATATATAGCTAGAGGGACGTACTTATTATCCACGTAATCTATTTATGTGCCAGCATTGTGAATGACGTAGAAAAAGTGGAAAATTTTGCCATTAAAAATCCCCTTATAAACTTTTGTACGTCATTCCTTAAGTCTACGTCATTCACTAGATAATAATTTGATTAAGATAAGGTTCAGCTGCGTTCCGATTTGAAAACATTGTTTAAAAAATTTGGAAAATAAAAAAACATGGCTAAGTAAAAAAAGTACTTTAACTAAAAAGATTTAGAAAATTTGAAAACTAAGAGACTAGTTCGCAGGTTTATAAACTTCGCTCGGCTGTTGATGCTGATTAAAAATTTATATACTTACGTATTTATAAACTTCTTGTCAAAATAATAATAACCTGCACAGGTATAAAAATAATGTCACATATATTACCTATTTGTACTCACAATTGTCAGATAAATCAGGGCTTTATAAAACATTTCTTAGAAAATCAATTATCGCCTTTCACTTTTCACAAGAGTCTAAAGATTCAAACAAAAAGAATAGTATTTACCCAGAATTTCTCGGAAATTTTATATTTATAAAAGTCTATCGGCAAATCAAATCTGATTCTTGCCGCAATCACAAAATGATAACCTAAAATATTAAGGCAACTGAATTAAAGTGAATTTTGGTAGACAGCTAAATGCGATTTGATTTGTATTGATTTTGTCATTACCAAGAAATTCAATTATCACACTTGAGTGGCGTCGCAATGATTTAGCTGTCTGCCAAGCAAACGAGTTAATAAACAATCAATTCACAATTTCAATGATGAAAATATAACATATATTTGTAGTTGGACTTTACGCATAATCATGTGGGGGAATACCCAACGTAACCAAATTTTAAATAAATATTCCAAACTTATTTTGTATATCATGGTTATCAAGAAGTTAAACAATTGTCAAAGAACACAGAACAGAATGTACTTACCTTTATAAAAAAACTGTTTACCCTGATTGCTTGTATTGATTCTAAATAATTAACACCTGAGAGCCACAGCACTTACCAAACTTTGTAAATAAATGAGTAAATGAATGAACTCAGCTCGGACCATGAATGAGCTCTCTAACTTGAAAAGTTAGTTAGTAATTTCTTTAAATAAAGTTCAAGTTCAAATCAGTATTTTGTTAATTAAATTACCAAGTGCTTTGGTCATAAGGCTTTTGTTTAAAGTAAAACTAATCTAAAAGGAACATTTTCTTCTTTTAAATTAAAAATAAAACTTCTATCAATAAAAAACCCCCAAAAGGAACACACCCATTATCGTATGGCTAGATATTATCAGTACTGTTTTTATTTAAACAATTTTAATATAAAATATTTTACTCGGACTCTTTTCGCCTTAATAAATAACAGCATATTGGTTGGCACTGCGCGGCTGAACAAGATTGGCATACTTCTCCTTTAGCTCGACCAGAGCTCGCTGAAAGCTCTCCATGCTGTTCTCCAGCTGGTTAGACACGGAGTGAACATTAGGTGGCAACAGTGTCTCCGAGGGTCGCTCGCCCAGGAGCAGGATTCGCCGCCAGTCACTGGCATCGGAACTGCCGCGCAGGAAGTCCTTCCGACGATTGCCCACTGCAAATACGGTCTCCTCTACATTCTCCGGAAGTAGGGTGGTCTGTTCACCAGGAGTGGGTTGAGTGGGAGCCGCTTGAACGGTTGGTGGCGTAATCCCCGACACAGATGCAGACGTAGGCGGCGGTGGGGGAATGACAGTCGAAGCTGCCGTGTTTGCAGGCGCATCGAACAGGTCACTGGGCAGATTCTGCGGACGATCGATCTGCAACACTTGACCATCCGGTGAGATGTGGAAGAACTGAGCACGACCTGCTAATCCCGTTCCCACACCACCAGGAATAACTATAATGTTGCCCACGGCGGTGGTCAAAGCAGAGGCGCCACCAAAACCAGCTCCTCCAGCTTGTGTGGAAAATAATGGTGGAATGGGTACACCAGGTGGCGGTGGGAAACCCCTCACTGGTGGAACAGCCGGACAGGGGAAGCAATATCCAGGAGGACCCGGTGGTCCCGGTAAGCCTCTAGGACCTGGGATAATCGGCACATTCGGGGGGAAAGGACCAGTGGGCGGGTAGCCCCAAAAGCCACCATTGCCATTACCTGGAGGACCTGGCGGACCTGGAGGTCCTCGCTCTCCCGCAGGACCAGGATCACAAGAGCATTTTACCAAGGATGCTTGGGCTCTGGAACAGAAACCTGAAAGACAGTTTCATTACAAGGGGAAATCAGGATATTTCAAAGCTAAATAAAATACTCACCCAGAAGAAAAACGGCCAAAAGTCCACGAAAAACCATGATGTTCTTGGAAAATCACCTCAGAACCGACTGAGCAGAGCTTTGAGCCGAGGAGCTGCTTTTATAAGCTAAGCACTGGACCAAAATGTTAATGTGCATACAAAATAAACCATATAATCTAAAGATCGAACCCAAAACACATTTTCCCGCATCGGTAAGTAACTGTTTTTCCCTTTTTATGGAGTCTACAATCGAAAGGGAAATGGTCGAATGGCATTTATGGTAATTTATGCTACAAACTATATATAAACCGAATATACACGACAATCATTAGGCAGCGGCCAAGCCCTCAAAATGGGTCAGCAGGGTTCTGGAGCCAGCATGGGAGCAGGTCTCGAAAATACATCAAATGTCAATCAAGTCGTAAAGCGCGATTAAATCGGATTCTTTATGTGACTTAATGTGGGCGCTAGATATTAAACTGACACCAAGACTATTGGATTACTGGTTTGGAAAATTATTTTCATTACCATTCACTCAAAAGGAATGGAACAGAAACTCTGGAAATTCTTAAAATACCTTTTCCGAAGCGCCGTTATAGTTTGAGTTGGAAATTAGCATAAATTACGAAATCAATATGTTCTTAATCAGCTTTTGGATTTGAAAAGGTTCTGCTACATTTCCGACTTATCGTAGAATTCCATTGACAAGACAAATCCCCCGAAAACACGCGTCATTAGCGGCACTCGCTCACTCTGCGTAAGTGGCCACTTCCAAACGAGCGCCATCGTCTTGAATCAGCAGGTGACATTGGGCCTCTCGAGGGCTCAGATAAGTGAAAAACTAAAACCGGACAGAGGAAGGCTGATAGAAGCACTTGGGTTACTTAAATACCCTTTTTTAAAGGGTTCCTTACCATTGTGAAGGTTCTTTTCCCAAGCAAAGAAAGAAGTTTTTAGAATATATACAACAAAAACAAGATTCTTTGCCCGATCCCTGGCCATATGCTCCTTTCTAGGGTATAAAAACACCCTCTGCATACCCAGCAGAGATTAATCTTGTACGCAATAATCATAATTCAAGTACGTAAGGCCAAAACTCAGCACTATCAGTTGTTGAATCTACAAGAATCCAAAAAACACTTTATCAATTGAGTTGTCATGGAATAATCCCAAAGTGTTTTCTTGGCGTTGTTCTGACTGTTGCTCTATAGGAACAAAAAATACAAACAAATTTTAAGAATAAGAGCAAGAAAATTGGCAATTGGCCCCCTAATAAATGGGCAGATAAGCTGCCCAAACCAATTAATTCCAAAAAAATTAAAAAGAAAACAGGGAACCCATTTAAGTGGAAAAACAATTTGAGGGTCAATGTTACCGAGGGGATCAAGAGCTGACTTATCGACGATTCAGATGAAGGAATAAAACATATTGTTTGGTTTTATATATTGAATTTTATTATTAGATTATCGACTATGGCTAATCAGCACATTTCTTGCATCGTACATAAAAACTTAATTGGCGCAAACAAGTTCAAGTCACATTTTATCTGCAATTGCATAGATTGATAAGTTTTCTAGGCAAAACAATGCAAATCATATTATTTGATGTGTACGGCACACGAGCATACATTAATGATCTTTGGAACTGTAAGAGAGTAACTTGGAAAGAGAGTTAATTGAACTAATTGCTGGGAAACCTGAGAATTTTAATATGGGAAAAGGGGAGATTCTAGTTTGAAGGTTAAAAAATTAAATGCAACAAACTGATATTTTAATTTAAAATTCAATATCTTAATTTTATTGTTTACAGAATTCGATTCCAAGTTAATTGTCTTACAATTTCTAAAAGAAAACACTATTAAAGTTATGCATAAGCCTCGCCGTAAACGTCGTTAAATTGAATATTAATCTTTGGTGCGAATACATAAGACTGGCATTCATTTTCACACCGAACTTGAGAAGTGAGAAGAAACACAGATCAGAGGGGAGAGCAAAAGTAAACGCGCAAAACTCTACTCAATAATAAATACAAGTGTAAATCGATTAGGATGATATACAGATCTGGGGTAGGGCAGGGCTCTTACTAGTCTATTTTCACATTGGAATAGATTTTTCGCACGAAGAGATTCGTGCCCACATAGCCGACGGTGCCGCAGATAATGCCCAGGGCGCCGCTGAAGAGAGCCATGTAGCCAAAGTAGAAGGCCGTTTGGAATAGACCAAACATTCTGCAAGAACAAAAGTATAAAATTAATATTTTTTCAACAAAAAATTCTTTAAAAGCGACTTACTTTGTTTTGAAAAAGAAATAGTAAAATGAGTAGGCATAGACGTAAATGGATGTGGAGCCTGCAGCCATGAAACTCGTCCACTGCCATCGGTAGTCCTCCGCATTTAGCAGGAAGTATGTGCACACAATGGTCACGCAGACGGTGACCACAGTCAGGATGCTGAACACCAGCAACATGAAGCCATAGACATAGTAGATTTTGTATGCCCAAAAAGAGGTAAAGATAAAGTACCTGTGGGGAGAAGAAATTTTAAATAAATTAAATGCTTTAAAATGCTAAAAATGTTAAATACAAATATTTAATACATAAATTCCACTCAAGTTTTACTTACATCTCAATGAAAATGGAACCAAATGGCAGAACACCGCCAAGGAGCACTATGATCAGCGGCTCCATGTACCACTTCTTCTCGGGTATTGGTCGTGGCACGGCATTTACTCGACAAGGGAAGTCCGGCTGGCCATCCAAATTGCGTCCAACCACAGTGCCCACCAAAGTCAATGGCAGGATTACAAATAGGCAAATGCAAGTCACCGCCACCATAGTGCCAAAGGGAATGGCCCTCGAAGCATGATAGCCAATGGCAATAAAGTTGATCAGGAACGCAGTGCCACAAACAGCCACTGGAACAGTAAATGCGGATGTCAGCATCTGTCTGATCCACATTCGTCCACCCAGGCGGGCATATAGGGATCCTCCAAAGTAACCATTAATGGGAGAGGTAGCAGCATAAACAAAGATCGCCGTGGACAGCATCGAGCCACGTTCAGTGTACAATTCACCGACAATGGCAAACATAATCACACAAAAAACCACGGAAATTAGTTGGTAACCAGCACCGACCAAGGCCGAAAAGAGCAGGGTATTGGGTGGCGAGCGGAAAACATCGCCGTGCACCTGTTTCCAGCCATACTCATCGCCCAGATCACGCTCCATATCGTCCACCTCCTCGTCCTTGCTGTAGCGGGCATAATCCTTGCGCAGGGTTCGCATGAGAATCATGGAAACCAGGCCCACCAGAAAGATGACCATCATGAAGCTGTTGAAAATGCTGAACCAGTGAATCTGTGGAGCAATCGAAAAATACCAAGGTAATTGTTATGTAAACTGTTCGTTAAATCAAATTTCTAAATATAAAAACAAATCTTCTTAAAAAAAAATCTTTTTTATAGCCTTTTTCCAATTTTCGATTGATATTCTAAGCTTTCCCTACTCTAGGCATTGATTTCTTTGCAAGAAACTTCTAAAATGTGATGCATTACTTATCACCAGATAATTAAGTTAAGTGGAAACTTTTGTGGTTGTGGAGAGGAGACTGAAATAAAGAATAAGTTCAACAAGAAAAGAAGATAAGTTCTGCTATTACAATATCATCATTTTTGGCTTAGTTATTACATTTGTATACCCTTCTTTATAAATCAAATGCCAACTGCAAGGGTATACAAACGTTGGCATGTAGCAGTTAGCTTCCTTTCTTCTTATTATTAAAACAAATTAATATATTTTGAAAAACAACAAGGCAATCATTTTTCCTCAACTAAAATTTTCCGACAGCTTTAAGATATCGTGCTCCGATTAGACCCCTTCCGATATACATATATGCAATAAAAAGAAGACTATCTTCAAATTTCCATTCAGATAACACAAATCTAAAAGACTAGTTCGCATAGTAACGGAAGGACGGACATGGCTGCTTGACTTGATGCTGATCAAGAATATACATAGATACTTTATAAGATCGAATACATTTTCTTAATATAGTGGACTCAAGTCACTCACCCGGTGTTGAAAGAAGTTGGGATCCAGATACTTGTCAAATCGATTCTTGAACTCCACCTTGCTGGGCTTCCAGTTGACCTCGTACGAAAAGTTAATGTGCGCCCCCGTCTTGAGCTCCTCCCGGCCGTCCGTAGTGAGTGTAATATCTACGATCTGCTGGCCATTGTAGCCAATATCGAACTTCTTGTGCGTAAAGATGTACCACTTGCCGTCGCGCTCGTCCCGCTCACCCACCTTACCCCAAATGGGCAGCCCGTCGATGTACATCTGATACCAGTACTCGTTTTTCACAGCATAGGTGAAGGCCTTGGTGCTCTCCTCCTCCAGCGTGACCATGCAGATGACGGAGCGTGCCGCGTCGCTCTTGAACTCCATCTCATAGCCGCTGAACTCCAGCTCGACGCCTTGCAGCGCCTCGCTGAGCGTCTCATGGTAGTGCGAGATCGAGGCCTTCTGGCCGCTGCAGAAGGGTAGCGAGAAGTAGGCGTAAGTCTCCTGCCGGTTGTGGTACGGCCCGACCGTGTTCATCCACAGCACCACCTCCTCGCGGTCATTGTACTGCAAGAAACATCTGTTTACAGGCCAGGTTAAAACACAACAAAAGACCCACCTTGTGGTTGTGCTCGTCCGCTTGCGACACGTAGCAGCTGGCAATGAGCAGCAGACATAAACAAATGACACGACGGGTCTCCATATTTTCCGGGTCGCGGATTGCTGCGCGGGCGTTTCTCGGGCGGCTGACCTTGATCCTGGGCGCTGATGGTGCTCTAGCTGTGCCGGCAGACAGGTGCGGGCCTCTGGCTGACCCCCAAAAAGGCCTTTTTTTAACGATTTTGTGGCAAACAAAAATTTGCCGACAGAAAAAAATCGTAGAGTTCTAGTGCAGTGTAGTGTTGCCGTTTACTGTGCTGAAATTGCGGATTTTCTCTTTCGCGGTAAATGGTCACACAGATATAAAGAAGCTGCTAAAATATTGATGTAATCGATACTATCGTTTGTTTAGTTAGTAACGGTATTTTAAACAAAATTAATTTTTATAAATATATTTTTTATACATTATTTTAAAATAATTTTGAGAAAAAATTGATATGATTAAAGGAAAACAATAAATATATAATCATATATTATAAATCTAGATTCGTTTTATTAATTGTACAAATTGTAATTCAGAAAACTTTGAACTTATATATGGATTATCCGACGGGTTAACCCAACGCAGTGGTGGTCATCATCGATGCCGTATTTTCTTGTTTATGTGGCCGCTCTTCTTTGCCGTCGCACTGGAGCTGGTGGAAAGTTTGCTCTTTGTATTGGAGGTGGGTGTGCCGAGCACATCTTTGTTGACAGAGCTGGGTGCAACGTTGCTACCTGTGACACCAACTCCTCCAGCAAGGCTAACCAGGCTTCCCTCATTGCGATGCGAGGGGGAATCTATAATGGAAAATATTAATGATGTGTTGAAATTACAGGGTATTACTGTGGTACATACGTTGCTTGAAAACTTATCTCTTATCTATGTAATTACATATTATCTATTTCGTTTTTATATATATTTTTAATATAGGTACAAATTTGAAAATTGTTTTGTTTGCAAAATTTAAGGCACATCGATCTGATCACATTTTTCTTTTAAATTGTGTTGAGATTAAGCTTGATCACAGATCTGTATGTATTCAGCATCTTAAAAGTTCTTAGTTAGTTAGTTTTCGAAGTCTTTCAATTTGTATATATTTTTCTTGACTATTCTCCTTCTATGTGTCCAAGTTCTACCTTACCCTTTTCATCTTTAGGCGTGCTCTTGATTGTCGTGGCTCCATCGTGGGCCGTGGTGGTGTTCTGATTGATGGACATCTGATTGTCGCTGGAGTCTTCATTGGTAATGGAATCGGATTCGCTTGCGCGCTCAGCTAAAAATATATATATTTATTTAATTAAATCAGATCCTCTAAGGAATAGTCAAAGTATCTATCTCAACTGCACTTACGATTACATATTGCCATGGAGGTAATGCTAGATTTGGAGAACAACCGCTCCGCCTCCTTGAACTTGCGATTCCGCTTGTCGGCCTTGGAGTTGGTGGCCTTGTTGGAGGTGAGGTAGCGCTCCCAGCCGCGTATGATGTTGCCGCACAGCTGTGTGTCCTCCAGATATGAGCCCTCAAAGGCGTAGATCTGTCGCTCCAAGTTGGCCAGTTGCTCCTGTTGTTAGAAAAAAAAAACACATGATATAATGAATGCCGCGCTTTCTGGTTTGTTTATATTTGTGTCTCACCGAGGTTTCGGCCTTTTTCTTGATGAGGTCCGCCAGCTCGGCACGTGTGTCCATTGTGCCGCCCTTCGCAGTCGAATTGGTTTTCCCGGACTTCTTTGGCTTGTTTCCATTTGTTTCAACAACATTTTTACTCGTTGGCGAGCTCATTTTGCACAAAAATTGGTGAATTTCCCAAAATTTCCACAGAAGTGCGATATAGTAATAGAGATGGGAGATGCCGACAGTGTGACCGGCTCTCAAGTATCTCATTAAATGAAAAATATACCGATACATCGCCGATATGTTCATTAAATTCAGACCCTAAATATATATATATAAATTTTAAATTTATTTATATAAAAATTTATTTTAATATAATTTAAATTTTAATATAAAAAGTTATTTTTAAAACATGACCGCTCGGTCTGGCATCTCCATTTGCTCATAGACAAAATTTCTGGCATCTCGCCATATTTGGTTTATGTACTGCCTGTAAAGATGGCGCTGTTGTAGTACTTACAGAGCCATCTATCAAAAGTTTTGAAAAGCTAATATAAATTAAATCAAATAATTTAATATATTTAAAAACTTAAAAATTCTTAATAACTACGTGCCATATCAAATGCTAAGTTCAACGAGCAAAATGACCAATTTTAATAGCTACATGATTTTCTCTGCTAATATAGCAGAAGCAATTTTATTACAGAATTTCCCTTGGCAGCCTTTTACATTCGTTTTAAAGCCGGTGCCGCTGCCAATGACCTCGCATCTTGTTATTCTTTATTATTTATGCGTCTTTGGCCCCAAACAAAAGATTCGGTTCGGCTCCACGACCATCATAGGAGGCGATGATCGCCTAATGATCTCGCGGCGGCTTGCATAGTTTATTGACCCAAGCTTGCCTCAAAGAGTGCGTTGAACTGCCGAAAAAAAAGTGAAGCTACCGTTCTGGCTCTCTATTTCTTTGCCTCACCTTCAGCGCCCCTTTCTCTTTTCGTTTTCCTTTTCCGCCCGCCTTTCGCTCTCTTACCATTCGCTCTTTCTCTTTTACTTGCCTTTTTATGGGCCTCACTTTCGTCATACGCGGCGTATGCGTGATTTTATTTTTCCACAGAATCGCCAATGAAAAGTAATCGCACATCGAAGCTGCCCCCGAAGAAGACGAACTCGATTAGAAAATGAAATCACAAAATGGCAACGACCGTTGCAAGACAAAGTCTGCTGCCACGTTCCACTAACACGAGCGACTAGGCCGCCGACTAACTGAGTGACTAACTGTCTGAGTGACTGACCGACCAACTGACTGACTGCCGCCTTCTATGTATGTCAAACATTGGCGCGCGCCCGCTCGCGCATTCGCCAAACAACAAAAAAGTGCAGCAAAAAAACTTTCATTTTATTTAAACAAACACACAAGGCGCGGTCTGGGCTTGGACTTGGACTTGGAAAAACTTATTTTCATTTGGTTTTAAGCAAACATCTTCCAACTGAAAACTCCGCAGTCCGATCCTCATTGGCCGTCTTCTTCTGAGCTTGCACTGGGGAAAATCAAAGTGAATCCTTAAAACCATAGTTTAAAAAATTGTTATTCATAATTTTATAGAAGCAAAAAATAATAGTTTTATTTATAGGTTTTCTTATGTCTTTATACCAGTCTTTATATCACTTTTTGCATATTTATGTGTGTTTAATATAATGATTTATAACAAGTTATAATGGCTTTTTGCTTATTCAATGCAATTTTATTTGAATATTTTAATATGTTAGAAGTAATTTACAATTTAAATATTAAATATGATGAATATTACAATTCAAGATACAATTTAAAGATTGTTTTTTGTTATTAAATAAAACAAAAAACCGTGGCTTAAGGTAGCTCTGTTTTCACAAAAAATATATTAACTGTATAACCTTTTTTAATAACCAATATAGCTAGTTATTTAATACATCAATTTATGATGCTAAAAAATGATAAATTCATGTTGCTACTACTTATTTTCTTGCAGTGCTGCCAATTGATGGCAGTTTACAATAATTTTATGATGAATTGCTTGGCCGCGTGTGAAATCTGCAGCAGTTGCAGCCAGCACTGGCCGCTGGAAAAGTGGAAAACTGCCAGAAAAGTGGAACACAGCTAAAGAAGCAGCAACAACTGCAGCAAGTGCAACAACGGCGGCAGCAGCAACAACACAAACACTCTCGACTAATTAGCTGCGTTTTAGAAATTCAGGCGGCAATGAAAACAAAATCGAGTTCAATGCTTGCAACGATGACGCTGTTGTTGCTCTCGGTATGTTTTCGACTTTTCCGAGAATTTCACATACTTACATATACATACATACATAGACCGATGTGGCGCTTTCCCAACGCCAATCGAGTGAAAATGAGTCTGCTTCGATTTGGGCAGCCAAAGAAAACAGCGAAAAGGAAAGATTGTGTGTTGAAAAAGGAGTTTTAAGTAAAATTAAAAATTTTGTTATTTAAAACAACATACTTAAAATTATTAAATGATACTAGCATATTAATTGACACGATAAAATGCCTGTTTTTATAGTCTATATACTGGGGCATTAAAAATAATAAATATGTTTAGGATAAATGCTTAAAAAAATGTCAAAGAGGAAACCCTAATTTTTTTTTATTTATATTTGTTTGCGTTTTACATATATTTATTAAATTTAAAAACATTTCTAAGAAACTAACCCTTCCTTAAAGTCAAGAAAATAAATCCTCCATTTGAAAATATAATCAAAATAAAGACATCGGTTATATTTTATGGCAATATTCTTTTATAATGAATAAAAAACTTTAAAAATCAATAATTTCCTTGAAAAGGTCAATAACGAATTTTAAAGTTAAAAAAAGGTAAATATATAATTTATAAATTAGTTTTAACCCTTCAGTGGCCCCAACCGGCTGAAACAATGACATCATAGAGAGAGATAACAGAAATGCACTTGCCATTGCACACATACACTCGCATGGATTTATTCGCACGCCCACACGAAAGCCATTACAAAGCTCTCTTAACTAAGCTTGCTCTCTTTTTGGCTAGCTAGCTTCGCTCTTGGCCTCTCAGCTCTCTTCGCACAAAGCTCTAGTTTTTGTTGCTGTGCAAAATGCCGGAAGAAACTTGATCTTGATTATTTTCTATGCAAGAGCGAGCGAATAGCGAGTGCGCAAAAAGTTCAAGTTGAATGTCGCGGCCATCATGGTCTCTCTCTTGCTGTCAATGGCGCTCTGGCTCTTGCTTATAGGTGTGTGTGTGTGTGGGCGAGTGGGGCGTCACAATTTTCATTTGTTGTTGCTCTCGTGTGTGCACCCGAATGCACTTTGTATTTGTTCTAAGCGATTTGAAAGCTTTTCATTGTTGCTGCACTTTTTGCATGCATTTTGGAAAAATAAGGAAAATAATAATGCAGTGAAAAACAATTCAACTATTTTTGCTTGTTTTGTTTTATTTGTTGTCCAATTGTTTAATGAATGCCGGATTCACATTTCCACCGATTCAGCTTATGATTTTATTGCCTTTGTTTTGTAATCTATTTGAATTGTTTGAACCCATTTGGTGTGAATTGGATTGTTATGGAGTTGTGTCAGTTTAAGGACTTTTTTATAAATTAGATCAAAAAATTACTATTGCTTTTGGAAACATTCTTAGATTGTTGATTTAAAAAAAAATGAATTTAGAGTTTTAGATTTAATATTACGCTTACCTACACAGGAATAATTAAAATGAGATGATAAATATTCAAATTTAGGGAATTTTTAGAACTATTTTTTTTTTACTATTTGTTTTTCTTCAGTATTTATACTATATTTCATATAAAATGTTATCAAAATGTTTTATACTTTCTTTCCAAATTCTATGTGTAAACTATAACATTTAACTTAACATACATATATCATATTTAGGTATTAAATATTTTAAGCCACATTCATTTTTTTGGTTTTTAATTCTTCTACCAAAATAATTTTCCAGTACTTTTCCTTTAAAGTGATTTCTAAAATTCTAAAATCTTTCGGTTACTTAAATAATATATGATATTTTTATTTTATTTATTCTTTCGTCCTCTTAAACGTTTGGTAAAAAAGATTTCCTAAACAACTCTTGTGATTTTGTTGACACTTCGCACCTTTTTTTTTTGTTGAATATTTTGTCCTCTGCCAACTATTAGTTATTATCCCAGTCTTTGGTCCACCGAACCCTTTCGACTGTTTGCCCAAAAATCGGTTTTTGTTGATCAACAAACAAGGCACAAACGCACACAATCTGGGGGAAAAACAAAAAAGACAAAAACCGAGAAACAGACAAAATGCAATCCGGAGTTAGGTAAGCGAACTGACCTTTGACAATGCTGCACAGATCGACGACATCATCTCTCGCCTCCACACCCCGTCTCATGGCATCCTCCTCCCTCTTCTGGCCACAAAAATTACAACCAAAAAAACACATTCACCCAAAAACGTCGTCGCTGACAAACAACAAACATTCCTCTTTCAAGAGACTTTTTCAAGCGGCGCGCCAATGGCCAAAACAACAAAGCCAACAAAGCCAGCCACAACTCGAACGAAAGCCAAGCTCACAATCAGTTAAAAGAGAAAAGCAAGCCAAAGACAGTCAAGACCACTGGGGAAAAATGTAATGCCAACAGTAGAGGTGGGATTTACAGTATCACATATTATTACAATTATAAATGATAATATTATAAACATATTATTAACATTTCTTACCAAACAATAAAATAACTTTTATAAACAATTTAGTTAATATTCTGAGTTTTATTGTTGTAAAAAATGTATTAAAATTAAATTTTTCATTTTTCGAAAGCCCTATCATCTTGACGGAAACTGTGTCTTGGCCTGTATGGCCAAGAATCGGTTAACAGAGAGCCAGACAGACGAAAAAGAGAGAGAGATAGAGGGAGAGTGGAAAAGGGGGGGCCAGTGGGGAGTTGGCGCGAATGGAGTGCACGAGGCGAATGAACTTTCGTGGCGCTCTGTTTTAATGCTGCCTGCGTTGGCATGGGAGTTATGCAACGCCACACACAGATACACACAGACACACGCTCGCAGTTGGAGCCGCCAGTCGGGGCTCTCGGCTTTTGGCCACGAAGCTCCACGAAGTCGGCTAACTGTTTTTCACCGCCTTCGTGCTGCGGATGGAGGAAGTGGGCTTGGATATGGGGGAGTGAGCGAGAGAGAGCGTCGCCGACGAGTCGTTGACTTTGCATAAGTGTGCCAA